GGTACCTGGGCCACTTGCTTATGAGAAAATACCCAGGAAGCACTGGGCATGTTGCTTCCCATAGACACAGAAGCCAGACATGCTGAAGGCGAGTGGTTGCAAACTCTGCCCACCTGGCTACGCTTCTTTGTTGAGGGATCAGAGAGAAGAAAGAAAGCAGGCCTTACTGTTATAGTAGGCAAACTGTAGGTAATTATAGTGCGAAGGGAGGAAGTCTTCAAAAGGCTTTTCTCGACTTGGGTGGGAAGCCAGCTCGGTGACACAGCTTTGCTTACAGCTGAGGACCTGGACGTAATGGTCTGAAAAGAATCAAAGACGAGGATTCCGTCATTTTTCTTAGGAGTCAGATTCTGGCTGGGCTGGGCAAATGCGAGTGGAGAGAAATCTCTGTGTGGTTCGTACGTGCATACATTTGCGCGTGTGTGTGTGTGGGATGTGTGAACACGTGTAGAAACCAGAGGTGATGCCAGCTGTCCTTCTCCGTCGTTCTCCCCGGGATTTTTTTCAAGGCAGGGTCTCTGACCCCGAAGCTCATCTACACGTGAGACTGTCCAGCTGCCAAGCTCTAGCCCAGGGATTCCAGGTGCCTGCCACTCACCATGTTTGCCTTTTATGTGGGTGCTGAGGGATCTGAACTCTGGTCCTACTGTTTGTATAGCAGGCACCTTAATGGCTGAGCCATCACCCCAGCCTCTGAATGGCATTTTTTTTTGTTCAGAGTTCCAGACTTAAAAAATTTGGGGATAAAGCAGGGCATGGCAGCGCAAGCCTTTAACCCCAGCACTTAGGAGGCAGAGGCAGGCAGAGTTCTGTGAGTTCAAAGCCAGCCTCTTCTACAGAGTGAATTCCAGGATAGCCAGGGCAGTTATACGAAGAAACCCTGTCTTGAAAAAAAAAAAAAAACCAAACAATTTGGGGACGAGGTTGCAGATGGTGTTTAGATAAATACCATTATTATCAGGACTCTGACCTTAAAGTCCTAGGAGGTTTGGTCAAGTTTGGTCAAGTCAGGCTCTGAATGGCACATACCTGTGATGGCCTGGAAGAGGTCGGCACTGTAGTCTAGGTAGTTGTAGCCATCATAGTCATAGGGCCCTTCACAGAGGGCACGGCACTCCTCATCGGCCTCGAAGTACTCTTGCAATGCAGCCTCCAGATGGGGCACAGCTTCCTGTGGCTTCTCCTCCGAGTAGAGCCGCACTCCTAGCCGAAACTCATGCTACTGGAGGGAAGGTGTACTCAAAACAGGCCCAGAGGCAGCCCTCACCTTATCCTGAGCCACTAACATGGAGGTGCTAATTCCTACTCGAAGCTATGGATGGAAAGGGAAACCTGAGTACAGATGCTTAATTAAGGTCGTTCGTAAACGGGCTCCCCAGTGCCCGTTTATTAACTCCCCATGTGGAAAAAAGACAAGAGTTTGCTGTAACTCTTACAGGTTTCTATAGGGCTTACAGTTTTCAGACAGCACAGGCTAGAGGAAGATGGGCCAGCAATTAACAACATGGTCTTCTGGAGGACTTGAGTTCAGTTCCCAGCTCCCACGTAGGGAGCTCACAATGCCTGGGACTCCAGCTCCGGGATCTGAGGTCCTCCTCTGGCCTCCTTGGGCAGCCACATAAACTTGCTCACTTCTCTCTCTCACACACACACACAAATACACATAAATTAAAAATAAACCACAAGCCACCCTAGGCCCCTTGAAGCAATGTCTTACACAGCTCAGCAGGGCATCAAACTCACTAAATGCCTGAGGATGACCTTGAACTCCTGATGTGCTTTCCTCTGTCTCCCCAGTACTAGGATTACACGTGTATGCCATCATGTCCAGGTTTACTTTAAAAGCTCTTCTGGGACTGGGGAGTGGTAGAGTGCTTAGCACGTGTGATGTCATCCTGAGAGTGTTTCTTATATATATGAATATTATGTACATACTTATATATATAGAGAGAGATATAATACGCGTATTTTTGTTGTTGTCGCTGAATACAAATCCAGAGCCTTGTACTTGCTAAACACCTGTCTATCAATGGTATATCCTCAGGCTCTTCAATGTTCTGATTTATAAACTACTAAAATGATCAAGAAGATAAATCCTTTATAAAAATGCTATTCAAATGTTAGATCAAAAGATGATGTCTACATGTAGAATATGATACTAAATTAGATTAAAGAATTAAATATTGAAGACTTGGGGCCAGCCTGGACTACACAGCACCAGGACTACCTAGCAGCTCGCTCACACACTCTCACACTCACACACACACACACACACACACACACACACACACACACACACACGGGGTGGGGAATGTCTTTTCACCATGTGGGGCTTGGCCTCGAGATCCTTGAAGTCTTCCTCCTTCACCCCAGACATGGTCTGGTAATAGTCGAGGTTCTGCCTCATCTCCATGTGCTCAGGGTTGCCCGCAAAGAAAGTATGGGCTGCCGCCACGGCTTTCTCCAGCCTGTTTATCTATGGATGACATTAATAATAATAATAATAATAATAATAATAATAATAATAATAATAATAATTACTTCATACCCAAACTCTGTGAGATTTTGATTGTTTGCTTGGTTGGTTTCTGTATGTGTGTGTGTGTGTGTACTGACATGGAGTGATGGGGTGTTGCTATATAGGACACTTTCAAACTCTCAATCCTCCTGCCTCAGATCCCAAGTGCTGGGATTATAAGTGAGACTTTATCTCAAAACAAGATAAAACAAGCAAACAGACAAAAAAAAAAAAACAAAAACAAACACAACAACTGAAATGTAGTGCCTGAGCTAAAGAGTCAAAGCTGCAACCATTTGGGAACAGAGCAGCAAGAGCAGTTAACAGTTACAGTATGGTGGGAATCCAAGGCTGGGATTCCGTGACCTGCCACCATGCCCAGTTTACTGTCCCCAATCCTTCAGCACTGCTCCCACCTTTCTTCATCATGAACCCCCGTCCCTCACCTTTTCCCTCTGGGCACTGGCACCTAGCTTCCTCTGGTGGACTAGGGCACAGGGCTCCAAATTCTCCCTCGTTCGCTGTCACCACTCTCTCCTTCCACCTATCCACCCGGCTTCCAGCATTAGCAGTCTGAAAACAAAGTCTGATGATGGTTGCCTGAAGTGTGTGGAAGTCTCCTCTGAATCCGGCCTCACTAAACTGTGTGCTCACTTCTGCTGTTCTCCCCTCATACAGAAGTCATGTAGTGGACTATCCTGTGGCCAAATATATCACGTTCTACTTTCCTCTCTCTGGGGAATAACCATTCCTCAGTGTCACCTCTTCCTCAGGCCTAAGTTAACTGAGGCAAAGCTAGACTTTCCCTCCTTTGTGCTCCCACAACCCCAACTATCTACATAACCTTTTTAGTCAGCACTTAATACAGTGACCCCTAGCAGTAACACAAGGTAAAAGAGTCAATCAATCATTTTAATCACTTGTCCAAGAACTGGAATGTAGTAGGTGTTCAATAAATGTCAATGGATTTTAGGTAGTGCTGTTAAGTGACATGACCTAAGTCAGAACTCAATCTTGCCAATAACCTGAAGGGATGGAGGGAACAGGCAGAAATCTGAGGTCTCCAAGGATCTCTAAGGCTCTCTTTAAGTACAACTGAAGTTCTGTCAAACTGTTGTAGATACTCGGTGTGCTGTGCAGCCCATCCCCCTGAAATGGGACTAATAGCATCTGCTCAAATAGGGGCAAATGAGCTAATAAACGCAAAGTGCTCTACCAAGGTCCTGGAAATAGCATGCTGCCAGTCATCACTGGCAGAGAGGCCTGTTGTTCCAAGCCTGTTTTTGGCTTGGCCTTAAAGCGCTGTGGCATCCCAAAGGCAGTCATTTTCTTTATATATATATAAATACACAAAAGATAAACTACCCAGAGGGTCCTCCACAAGGAGGAGCCAGGCAGCCCCTGCTGGCGACGTGGCAATCCCACGTCCAGAACGAACGAGCGCTGCTGTAGGAATAGGGAGCAGGAAAAGCATGATTGGAGAACGAACCGGAAGGAAGATGTTGTAGAAGCGCCTAGCTTCTCACTTGGATACTTGCAATGAAGTAGGACTGGGAGACCCAAGCGTTCCCTCTAGGAAGCCTTCCCAAATCTTCTTAGCTTGGGCGGTCACTACTGGCTAGACCTTTGGGGTTAGCATTTGCCCGGGTGAAGCTCCCCAGCCAAGAGGTCCCTTTCCTCCCCGTTGACTCGTCCCTGCTCTGCTCTCCGGGTTCCCCAGGTCGCTCCCGGCAGCCGGGCTCCAGGCCAGTCGCACCTTGAAGTAGGCGACCTGCAGGTAGTTGTAGGGGCTCCGCTTGTTGAACTCCAGGTCCAGCTCCTCACTCAGCAAGTGGGCAGAGGGTGGCCCAAGGCAGCGGCGCAGGCAGGCGGCACGGCGCAGCAGGGATCCGAAGAAGCGCAGGTCATGCAGGGCGGCGGCGCCCGAGTCCTGGCTCAGGCCGGGGGCCGGACCGAGATCGAGGTCCAGCGACCACGGCAGCTCGGTGGCGCAGCGTGTGCGACAGCGCAGGCGGAGGGCGCGCAGGGAGGCCCGCGAGCGCAGCGCCCGCTCCATGTTCAGAACCACCCCGGGCCAGTCCCCGCGCGCGTAGGCCGCGGTCCCCTCTGCGTAAAGTAGGTCAGGGGATGCCACGTCCCATCCCGGCTCAGACTCCGCCGTGGCCCGCGAGGCGGCAGCTGCGGCGACCGCTAGCATCGCGGCCAGCAGCCTCGGTGCGCTCCCTGCCATGGCCCCGCTCCCTCCACTTAACGGGACAGCTCGCCCAGAGTACAGGCCAGAGTCCCGCCCCACAGAAGCCACGCCCAGAGACGAGCCACGCCCCAAGCCCAGGAGCGCATGGCCAGGAAGCTTGTGCCGCCTCTAGCTTTCAACCAATCCGAACGCCCGCTCTTCGCGAGGCCCCGCCTCCAAGCTCAGGCGCGCCGCTCATTGGCCTGATAATGAAAAAGCTCCGCGCACTAGCTGTTGTGCGCCTGCGCTTCGGCCAGAGCTCCTCTGCGGGCGGTGGGGCTAGGGTGGTGTTATGGCGGATCCCGCAGCTCCGAGCCGGTCTGGACAAGGCGCGGGAAATCTGGGGGTTCAGGAGGCGGCGGGTCCTCGAGGTAGGTGGGACCGAGTTAGCCGGGAAAAAAGGTTGCAGCCGGGCACTACGTTCCTGCTGCCTCGCGGGAGGCTGAGGGCTACAACTTACGCCTGTGTTCCCGGGTGTGTATCGCAGGAGCCCTGGTGGAGCTCACCCCGACCCCCATCGGCCTGACTCTGGTGAGCCCCTACCACACCCACCGGGTTGGGGACCCCTTAGACCTCGTGGCGCTCGCCGAGCAGGTGCAGAAGGTGAGGAATACCATCCCTGTACTTTACCCTGCGTCTTTGGCCTCGGACCTCTCGTTTCATCTGCACCCAGGACAGCCTGTGAACTCTGCAGTACCGAGGATACCATTTCATTTCGCACATGAAGAGGATCACTCTCTCCCCAGTTCCGTGCTGTTTTTTTTGTTTGCTTGTTTTCTGTTGTTTGTTTCTGAGACGGATAGGATTCTTCCTACATTGTCTTGGTTATCGTGGAACTCACTATACACACTAGGCCGGCCTCGAACTCACTGATCCACTTGTGTTCCCCACCCCCACCTCCGAGTGCTGGGATTACGTGAGCCACCATGCTAGACTTCTATCTCAAATTTCTCAGTGGTCACTTTATTCTGCTTCCCATAAGGTCTTTATCTGTTGCCTAAGAGCTTATGGAATCTAAGTGTATGTTTTCTCCTTACTTTGAAAAAAATGGGTGTAGGTTAGTATTAGACCACTTTCCCAACCCTGAATTTGATTTTTAGTACCACCAAAAACAACATGCAAAAGGCACAGGGTAAAATTCCTATTAAAAAAACAAAACCAAACCAAAAAGCCCACACATATAAAAAAAACTGGAGACAGTTTCATCTTGCTGTATAGCTCAGGCTGGCTTTACATTCAGCCTCCTTTGGCTGGGTATTATATGGATGGCAGCCACACCTGGTGAATTTCAGTGGCTACAGAATTCCTGTGTCTAGAGCTTAGACATCGGTTGCCATGACAGGTAAAATAAGGTGTACAAAATGATGGAAAAGGCAATAGAAGTTTGGGCACATTAGTTTTGGACAAATTGCTTCTCTCGAGCTCAGGGTCTATAAAATGAGAGGTTAGAGGTGGGAGAACTCCTAGGTCTAAGGGAAACTCCAGGTTCCTTCTCATCTCTCAGCAAGACCTTCCCTGTAGAGTCCTTTTCAGTATTGGAGCCTGGCTGCTCTAGAAGATTCCTGTGTCCCCTCCCTCTTGCATAAACCAGCTTATTTGATAATGAGTATGTTCAAAAGCTTGTTTTGATCAAGAACATTAAAGTGCCCGAATCCCTCACGTAAAAATATGTCTGCTGTTTAATAAAAATTCAAACGTTTAGGAAAGCCCTTTTAATTAAAACCTTACCTTTTTAGAGAGATAAGAGCAAAGTAGAGGTGAATATCACGTATCTGTTTACTCAGATTGGTATTGGAGGGATGTAATCAGGTGCAAAATCTTGGGCAGACAACACTTTGAGTTTTCTGAGTGGCTGTCATGGACTCAACCAAAGAAAGAAGAACACAGCTTTTGTCTGTTATACTACAATCTAGTGAAATAAAAAGGATGTATTATTCTTTTGACTCCAAAATTTATCTTTGAGAAGCTGAAGAAAAAGCACTTTAAAAACAGATTGAGAGGTGAGGAGAGGGCTCAGTGGTTAAGAGCACTGACTGCTCTTGGAGAGGACCCAGGTTCAATTACTGGCACCCACATTTCTGCTCTCAACCATTTGTAACTTCATCTGGGGGATTAGATGCCCTCTTCTGGCCTCTGTGGAGAGTGCTTGAGCATGATAATGCATACACACATACTAGTGTGGGACTCAGGGTCAGTGCTTAGTAATCATAATTACCCTCTGGGACTGGAGAGATGGCTCACGGAGCGGTTAAGAGTACTGGTTCTTGCAGAGGATGCGGGTTTGGTTCCTAGAACTTGTCTGGTGTCTCACAGCCATTCATAACTCCAGTTCCTGGTGAGTCACTGTTCTCTTCTCTCTCAGATGCCAGGCACACACGTAGTACACATCCATACACACATACAGTAAATAAAACTAAAAAACAAAGAAAAAAACAACCAAACCCTTCCATTTCTTTTTAGTTAGGCTCTGGTCTGCATGGTGTCCTTTAGAAAGAATAGGGATTAGAGTGACGGCCTAGTCATCTTTGTGGGCACTTGCTGCTTTTGCAGAGGACTGGGTTCAGTACCCCGCCCCCATATCGTGGCATACACCCGCTATAGTTCTGGATCTGATACCTTTTGGCCTCAGGCACCAAGCAAGCATGTATACATACATGTATACATGTATGTAAACACTCATTACATAAAATTAAAATGCCTTTTTTTAAAAAGAAAAGTAAAGGGCATAATTATAAGGTTCCTGTCTTCCTGAACCTGCGTTCTGTCATCTTTGGCCATATGGATTTTCTTGTCCTAAAACCTTAAACTATGGGCTCCATAGAACCATGGAACCATGGAACCATGGCTCCATGATCTGTTACCACCTTCCTTTTTTAAAATGTATTATGTGCGCATTGAAATCTTAGGTAGGTATGAGACAGGTGATCCAGTTGAGGTGATGGTCAGAGCCCTACACTAGCAGGTGCTAAGAGCCCTTCACAAGTACCTTTTGATTTTATTTTCTTTCTTTCCTTTGTTTTGAGACAGTCTCACTATATAGCCCTGGTTGTAGACCAGGCTGGCTTGTAACTCACGGAGTTCCACCTGCCTCTGCCTCCTGAATCCTGGGATTAAAGGTGTGTGCCACCACATCTGGCTTGATTTTCATTTGTAAAACTCATTCTTTATTTTAAAGATGCCGAAACATAGAAAACAAATGGGTTGGATGTGTTGGTACACACCAGTAATCTTCGTACTTGGGAAGAGGAGGCAGGAAGAGTGCAAGCTTGAGCTAAGCCTGGGTTCGTTAGTGAGTTCCATTAACAGCCTGGGCCCCAAAATGGGAAAACAAAACCAAGCGAGGGGCCTAAAGAATGGGAGGATTTAGTCATGCAGAGAGCAGAGTGAATGATGCATTGGATGGAGGGGAGGGTGCACTCATGTTTGGTGGCTGGAGATGAGGGTGTGGAAACACCAAAGCCCAGTGTGTTAGAGATGAGAGTGAGCAGTGCAGATAGATGAAGGAGCATTTACTTCTGGGTGTCATTCAAGGGTGGGCTTCTGAGTTGGGCCTTTGGGTGGCTGGGAACTGATGTGTGATGGGGTGGAATGAACACTTGAGGTAGAAGCAGAGCTGTTGGCATCATTCCTTGAGCTGCATCTCTGTGAGACTACAGGTGCCTCTTGCTTTTTCACCCCACAGTTTGGATTTTTCCTCTTCTGTAGGCTGATGAATTCATCCGAGCAAATGCTACTAACAAGCTGACAGTCATCGCAGAGCAAATCCAACATTTGCAAGAACAAGCTAGGAAGGTGAGAAAGGTGCTCGTGCAAGGCCAGTGCAGGTTAGGCCAGCTTTCCTTCTCCTTTGCTTGGAAAGACTGGCTGAACTTGCTTATAATCATGGTGCCTTCTTTGTTTTTAATATATTCTGAACATGTAGATATTTTGGATAAAATGCAAGGACTATGCCCGAGAGGTTTTTTTTTTTTTTTTTGTTAGCTTATTTTGTTTTGTTGCTATGATGAAATACCTGGGACAGGTTAACCCTATAATGTTTAATTTGCCCAGAGGTTTAGAGGTTGAAGGGCATGGTGCTGGTACAGCTCAGCTCTGGGAAGAACCATCTGGGTCACGTGTGTGTGTCCCACACACGCCGAGCATGTGTAGGAGAGGGAAGCCAGAAATTCAGGTGTCAGCCCAGGCTTTTACAACAGTGCACCGTGACTCAAGTCTTCATGTTGCTCTCCCCCAAACTCCCTCCTTAGGGCAGTGCCTACTAGACTCAGGGCCTCTGACTAAAACTCTGATGTCACTGCACTGGTGGTCAAGCTCCTAGAATTCTTTAGGAGACCAGTGACCTCTGAACCATAACAGAGCTTAAACATAAGTGGGTTTTGTTTCTTAGCCAGGAGAGGTCAGTAAGATAAGGCTTTTTAAGGGAGGAGGGGATTCTTTTATAAAGGAAATGTACTTGACCCACGAAGAGAGGAACTTCAGAATTCCCCAAGCCCGCCCCACTCATTTAAAAATCTTAAACCTCTAACAGCTTTTCCCAGCATGGCAGCTTGTATAATCTTCACATCTCAGAACTGTTCAGACCCCAGTAGTGAGTCATTGCTGCTGGGGAACCAGACAACAGGCTTTGTGCATGCTTTGGTTAGAGTGATGTGGATGAGGCCTGACGACCTCTGACTCATCATTTTTCACACCTGTGTGACTGGCAGGTGCTGGAAGATGCTCGAAGAGATGCTGACTTGCACCACGTGGCTTGTAATATGGTGAAAAAACCTGGCAACATTTACTATCTATACCAGCGGGAAAGTGGCCAGCAGTACTTTTCCATCATTTCTCCAGAGGTAAACACATTCATTCTTAACCTTAAAGCAGCTCCAGCCTTTCAGAAATTCTGGGCCTGTTTGTATGAAAATGTAAGCATGTAGACTGGCCAATGGTTTGCTAGAAAATGAGGTGATATGAGCCCTGGAATGATGAAAAGTTGTATGTGCTTGAATGATATTATTTCTGATGTGTAATGTAACTTCCTATAATGGTTTAAATAGTCTAAGGTGAAAAGCACAAAAGAAGTGATGGCCTGAGTAGGAAAAGTAGGAACCTTGTTTACTTCTCACCCTGATGAGGACTTGCTCATTTGCCCTCTAGGAATGGGGAGCAGGCTGTCCGCATGAATTCCTTGGCGCCTATAAACTGCAACATGACATGTCATGGACTCCCTATCAAGACATTGAGAAGCAAGATGCTAAAATCAGCATGATGGACAAGCTGCTGAGCCAGCCTGTGGCCTTGCCCCCGAGCATCGAGCCCGCCTTCCAGGGACTGACTCACTGAGTATGACTCTGATGACATAGCAGCCCTCATGACAAAGGCCTGCCACTACTGCCTCCTTGTCTGCATCCTCTTCCTGGGGGTGGGTATTGTGGTGAATGATGAACTACTTGGAAGATGACCCTGGTGAATGTAGCTGCTGTTGCTGTCAGGTGGGGTGGTAAGGAATCACAGAACTCCTGTGGGATCTTCTTGGGTCCACTGGTGCCTAGTCAAGTCAGTTTCAAAGGCTTGGCTAGCGCTTTCCTTCACCTCTAGCTGTTCTTCTCGTGAGTCAGAACACTGGAGAAAGAGGAGCTTTCTTCCTAGCAAGTTGGTAGGTGGTTTTCCAAAAGGAACCATTTTTCTGTCTTTAGTGTTGGGTTGGTATTGAAGGTGTTGCCATACCAAGGTGGTATCATAGGCAGTGCCATGCCAATTTCAGGTTGACCCAGGAACCCCAGCGTTGCCTAAGGAGGATTGAAAAAAACAAACAAAAACTTGGCATGGCTGGGTGAGAGTGTTGACTCTAGACTTTCAGCCCTGATACTGTCCTGGTTTGCCCTTCCACCCTCCAGCTAGTGACTGGAGACGAAAGCAGCAGCCAGGAGTCCAGGCTTGGGGAGTCACCTGAAAGCTTGCAGAAGTTCAAAACTAGAAGAGGTATGGAAGGCTGCTGCCCTGCGTCCGCTCAGAAGCGTCCTTCAGGACAGCCTGAGCTCGCCACCACTGCAGCACGGACCCATCAGATACCATTTCTAATACAGTGTGGAAGAGCTGGAGAGAAGGTCACTGGTCCAGGGTGCTCACTGCTCTGCTGGAAGGTGTGAGTGCATTCCTAGCACCTGTGTCAGGTAGCTCGCGAGCACCTGTAACTCCATCTCCAGGAGATCGCTCACTTTCTTCCGATTCCATGAGCCATATACACACGCAGATAGACAGAAACATCAATTTAAAAGTAAACCTTTTCAGAAAGGGGGTGTGGAAGAATAGGGCGGGAGGGAACGCAAAACAAGAAAAATGACTGACCTGTCCCCTGTAGCCCAGGTTAGCCAGAAACTGATGAGCATAGGCTGCCTGTAATGTGATAACCTTGCCTTAGCCTCCCTTGTGGGGGCTTACAGGCACGAGCCATCGCTTCTAATAAGTTAGCTCAAGTGGAACTCATTTTTATTGCTACTGAATAATCATGAACTGAACTCAGTGTAGCTCAGTGGGAGAGTGTTTACACAGCATGTATGAGTCTGATTCCATCTCTAGTACCGTAGACAAGCAGAAAGTACTGAATAGGGCCTTTATTGGCTAAAACTCTCGTGACTAAGTGGGCTCTTTTGGACTTGACCTCATTTCCTGTTTGTTCAGCTGAGTTAAATTTATAGCACATTCAGGTTTTTTGTTTGTTTTCTGTAATATGTTCTAAAGAGCATGTGGAATATGTGTTTGAGCCTAGAAGCCCAAGTTTGGGTATACTCCACGTCCCGATATTCATGCCTGCCTTATGAACAGTACACCTTGTGAGCTAGAAATGTCCATCCCTAGCACAGGACACGGAGATCTAACAAGAAACATGCTGATGCTTGGTCTTCAGTTCACGCAGAAAGGTGTGGGCTGCAGGAAGCCCCCTCACTGGGAAGTTGTAGAGCTGAAGGCACACCGGGACTTTAGATGACCCTGATTCCAGAATGAGGCCCAGGTCTTCAGGAGGTTCTGACCTGTGTGGTCATGATAAATTAAGAATGGTGCTTTGTTGGTTAGGAGGTAAAGTGCCAGAGGGTTAACCCTCATCTATTCATGGTTTTGCAGCTTTTACAAGCCTTCAGCCTCGGGATTTTGGTGATGACATAATGCTGCAGTCAGGGATTTAGCTAGGGCTGATTTTCCAGGACCCCAATACCTGCTCCCAAGCTCACTTGACTGTGGCAGAATTTTGGTTCCTTGGAGATTGCTGGGCTACCTGCTGATGATATGTATTGTAGCCGTCCCCTCAGCCTGGCAGCACAGGAACAGTCTCCATCAGAAATGATGGGAGCTGACCAGCAGAATCCCAGTCCATCTGCAGCAATGACATCGCTTTTGCTGGCTTCTGTTTAGAAGCCAGTCTCTAAGCCAACCCACATGTAAGGGAAGGCCTTATGCAAGACCAGAAGGCAGAGGTCACAGTGCCTGAGCAGATCTTAGATCAAACTGTCAGCTGCAGTGTTCATTTGATAAAGAAAAAGTAACCAGTTTGGGGTAAAAGAATTATCAAAAGGTGGTTGTGATTGGGTGGTGTTGATGCTACAGATCTGGACTTGATATTCAGCCTTGGCAAAATAACCTGACTATATCCCAGCTGGCTCTGTCTTCCTCATTCCCTTGCTGAGCCACTGAAAATGTAGCTTGCCCCCATTTTTGACATTTCTAACAGTGACCCAGAGGGGAGAAACTTCCCATTTATGAACATGTATTTCCTACACTGGCCACCAGGGAGTGCCAGGGCTTTTCCCTGGTTAATCTGATTGCCTGTCTGAGGAATTGATTGATAATGTCCAGTGGTTCTGGATACACAGAAGTAGGAATTAGGACCCAGTGAGTATGTATGCAGCAAGTTCTGCTCATCAGCCGCTTGTCCTTCTGCCCTGACAGTTTCATGGGCACTAAGTGCTTTTTCATTTCCAGGTTCTAGAGGATAATCTCAGGGTTGGAGAGGGCCCTGTTTCTTTTTTTGGGGGTGGGGTTGGGAGTAAGGTGGTGGAGTATCTATCTGTCAGTCTATCTGTTTGTTTGTTTGTTTTTTGAGAATGGGATTCCTTTTGTATTCCTGTCTGTCCTGGAACTCACCCTGTAGACCAGGCTGGCCATGAGCTCACAGAGATCCGCCTGCTGTCTCCTGGGATTAAAGATGTGAGCCACCACTGACTGGCTGGAGGGCCCTGTTTCAAAGAAGTACACAGTCTGCTAGGGGAAGAAGCAGGTTAGTGGAGGTGTGGGTAGGACATTGTAGACGACAGGAAGATTTTGAAGGCTCTATTCCATGTATGGAAAGTTGTTTGGAGTGGGGGAGGTTCAGGGAGGGTTCTTTTGGGGTGGGGTTTATTGGATATGCTTTTAACCTCATCAAGCAAAGTAATCCTGGTCTTTATAAGGAGTATGGTAAGACTGTTCTGGCTAGAGAATTCTAACAACTAAAGAGATCAGTGATGGAGGAAAAGAAATGCAACTGACAAAAATAACATGAAGGGTGTTGATAGCAACCTGACCACTGTAGAAGTACAGCAGCTGAAGTGAGCACTGATGGGGGATGGGAGCAGAACTGGGGTCTGTACTGCTGGCCTTCAGGAAGCAGGCCTGGGCAGAGAGAAGGCTGTGAGGAGCTTCCACTCCTCTTCCAGCAGGAGACATGAGGGTCTGGCCTGAGCTAGCAGCACTGGACTATGAGGTTCCAGATTGTATCAGTTGTACAGTGGACTTCCTCTATGCTGTTACCTCTGGAATTTTGTGGGTTTCTGTTTGTTTAGTTGGTTGGTTGGTTGTTTTTTATTTTTCCAAGACTGGGGTTCTGTTGTTAGCCTTGGCTGCCCTGGACTCATTTGACTGGCTGGCCTCAAACTCAGCAATCACCTGCCTCCCTGAGTGCTAGGATTAAAGGCATACATCGAGCTAATCTCTGGAATTTAGTGCCCATAAAAGTCAGTGGCCAGCACTTTGTTTTCTTGGAGGTTGGTATATGCACATACGCAGGTGGCCATAGAGGCCGGAGACATGGGATTATTCTCTCCAAGAGCAGCAAGCACTCTGAAGGGCTGAGTTGTCTCTCTAGTACTGTTCTTGTTCTCGCCTTTCCCCCTTTGTGAACAGTAACGGCTGTGTAATAGTGCTGTGGCTCATAGTGAGGATCGTCCAGTCTGGTGATGGGGAGCATTTTGAAGCTACCCTGTTACCTAGTGAAATGTGAGGAGATGAGTGAGAGGAGGAAATCTTAAGCAGTTCTTGAATTTCTGGCTCCAGTGTGTTGACCCACTCAACAAAATATGGAAGAAAAAGGCATTACTATGGGGTGTTCCCCAGAGGAGACTGCTCAGACATGGGTTTAGGCCAACAGAAAGTCTTTATTAACTGGCTGGCAACTACACAGGGTGCTCAGGGTCCCAGGGTAGCACTGAGCCTTTCTTGGGGTGAGCTTTTTAAACACAAAACCATGTCCTAGGTTGACATACTTAGTACACAGGAATAGTTAGCCAGAAGCAGAACTTACAGAAGCAAAAAGCAAGGTTAGTACATTTAGAGATTTTATCCAGAACTATAAACTTTGAAGGATTAGGCCTTTGTTTCAGTTTTGGTAGGTGTTGCTGTCTACGTGCTGAGTCTTACAGCCTGGATGGTCCCTCCATGGAGTCAGTTGTGCTAAGGTCTCAGGGCCTACCAAGGTCTGGGACCCAGTTACAGAATTCTATCTCTAACAGAATTAGTGATCTGTATTTGCTTCAAGAATCTACGTTGCTGGCTCTGATAGGCTCACTGGGTGAAACCACTGACTGACTGTTTACCCAGGGCTCTAAAAGGCCTTGCTTGTCTTCTTACCTTCTCAAGTTATTTGTTGGTCCCCAACATGGATGGTGTTAGTCATAAATGAAGAGATGATACTGTCTAGGGAATTTTTATTCAATCAAGTGTTCCCTTTATCTGATTTTAATCTTCATGGGGCCTGTCACCCATGAGGTCTGAGAGGGAGCATTTCTAGTTCAGAGTGGCCCGTGGCTATCCAGATAGCAGTGGTGAGGTCACGTTTAAACAGAGCTGTGTTTGCTCTGAGTCCAGCCGTAATTGCAGTCCTATCTACCTCGGTCGTGTTAGCTGCAGTCTCGTTACCTCAGTCATGTCTTAGCAGGTACTTCTAGAGCTCTACAGAGGTGACACACGAAGTGAGTGTGGCCAGAGTGGGCTGCTTGTCTCTAGTGTAAACCTGTACTCCAGCTCCCAAAGAGCTGAGGCAGGGGTCTGGATGCTAGTTTCAGACCAGCGTGGGTGACAGTTAGGGAGATTTTGGCTCAAAAAAAGTATAAAGGGGGTGGCTGGCTGGGAAAGATAGGCAGTAAAATACTTGCTGTATAAACAGGACCGTTTATGAGTTTGATCCGAAGCATCCACATTAAAAAATCTGGG